TCTACAGGACAGACAATCTTCCAAGTTTGTAGAATCTTCTCCAATATTAAGACAACTATAGTCGTGTATTATTCAAGAAATTTATTTTGAATTAACATGTACAAAAGAATCTCACTTTTTTTGGAAACTTGGAAATCTGATCAATTTTATTTCATAAAGATGAATAAAAATCATGTTTTGTAAAAGGCTCGGACGTACACGAGATATATTTTTCAAATGTTTAAGTAGTCCACGTGGCGCAGTGGTTAGAGCGCGTCTGCAGTAGAGTCAAAAAGTAAGGTATCGATCCTTACGCCGCGGGTACGAATCCCATCATGGGACTTGGAGACCGGTGCTTCAAATAAGGCTGTAGTACATGTAGGTGCTGGCACGAAAAAGATCCCTCCCTGTTCAATGGCCCTGAGTGCCAAGCATAGAGCAGAATTTGTAGCTTTCCACCGGCAAGGTGTGGCGTCTCCATATGAGAATGAAATTCTCGAGAGGGTCGTTAAACAACATACAATCAATCAATCAATTTTATTTATTTATATTGGTCAGAGAAAAAATATATCGATTTCCGTAGTTTCAAAGGAAATAAAATGTATCTGCTCTGATGGCTCTGTGCGGAAGCTACTTGCAATGGATAAAGCTTTTTGGATGCAAGTCAAACTCAAAAGGTCAAGATCAAAATTGATGGTATTCAATGAACGGTCTTGCCACATGTAGCATACCTGTGAAATAAGAAAACCTTGTCCTAACCGTTCAACAGTAATGGTCATGGCAATCTTTTAAAAGTGGGTTAAACTTTAAGGTCAACGATTTAATTCATTTAAATCTATCGAAAGGTCTTGTAACTAAATGAATACAAATATAACAAGAGGCCAATGGACAACATCGCTAACCTGAGCAATGTGGGTAGGAAAAAGCAGAAATCAGTTTAAAATTGAAAAAGTTTAAACCCAAAAGTGGTCCCAACAAATCCTTAAAAGGGAGAGGGTATGTTTCGAACAAACTTGAATCTACACTAACTAAGGATGCTTGCATACTGTATAGGGGGAAAATAACTCGCGGTGTTAATATTCGCTATATTCACGGTGTTAATAAATCCGTGAATTCAAGAAACAGTGAATAAATTTTCAATAATCTCCATGATTTATTTGGAAATTTGAGAATAGACTACGATAGGTTGACTACGACAGGTTGATATACATGTACATGCAGTACATGGTCGTTTCAGTAATTACGAGTAGTACTCGTCATTCAATTATCTTAATTATCACGCTTTACTTTAATTCAAATCGGCAGATAATAACTCGTGTTTGTTCAAAAGCTGTTTTAATAGCCAACGCTACATGTTTCATCAATCAAAACACGTGGGCCATGGGTTTTGATTACCCGTGCGTAACTAATTTTACCACGTGTATTTGTTACTTGCATTATCATGCATATTAGTTTTTATCAACATTTTGGTTTTAAAAAATCATTCAAATAAATATCGAACTTACTGAAGATGTGGAAGATATTATTTCGGCGAACTTAATAAACACATTTACTTGCGTCCAGTGGTTTTTCGCCGCGTTGTATTGAAGATCTTGGGTGCACATGCACTCATCGTAATAGCTTATAGGAAAGTCATTTGACGTTTAAAGAGTAGGACTTTTAATAACTGCACTTGTTTTAATTAATTATTAATTAAATCTATCAATTTTATATAAACCTACCCTGTTGTTTGTGCTGAAGAATGCCGTTTACATGTAGCTATTCCGCGAATTCAAGAAACCGCGATCGTGTCAGATGAGAGAAAAACGTGAAAATTACAACCCGTGAAATTAAACCCCTATACAGTATTTCTTTGACTACCTGTGACTTTATTGCCCTTTACATTTGAATTAACACTGTGGCCCCGTCCTATCCCAAGGGTCATGTTCTGAACAAAATTGAATCTACGCTACCTGAGAATGCTTCCATATGAACAGGAATAATCATGGCTTTGCTATTCTTGAAAAAGATAATTTGAAAGATATTTTCTACATGTTTTTATAAAAATTTTGATCGGCCATTTTGGTCTCGCCCTCCTCCCGGGGGTCATGATTTGGACAAAAATCTCTACTTCCTGAGGATCTATAAAATATGATCATTCATGCGTTTGTTTTTCTTGAGAAGAAGATTTTTAAAGAATTTTCCTATAATATTTCTATATAAAACTTCATTGAAGCCCTGTCCTACCTGCAGGTGACATGACTTGAATAAAATTAAATCGCCACTACCTGAGGATGCTTCCACAAAAATTTGATCATTCGTGCCTTTGCTATTCTTGAGAAGAAGATTTTATAAAAATTTTCCTATATATTTCTATGTTAAATTTTGATTTACCAGTGTGGCCCCGCCCTACCCCCTGTGGTCATGATATGAACAAACCTTATTCTACCTACTGAGGATGCTTCCAAAAAAAACCCGGATAATTCATGCTTTTGCTATTCTTGAGAAGGAGATTTTTAAAGAATTTTCCTATATATTTCTATGTAAAACTTCGATTGGCCATTGTGGACCCGCCCATACCCCCAGGGGTCATGATTTGAACTAACCTGAATCTACACTACATGAGGATGCTTCCAAATAAATATGATCATTCATGCCTTTGCTATTCTTTAGATGATTTTCAAAGAATTTTCCTATATATTTCTATGATAAACTTTGATCGGCCATTGAAGCCCTGCCCTACTCCCAGGGGTCATGACTTGAACAAACCTAAATCTACACTACCTGAGGATGCTTCCAAATAAATATAATCATTCATGCCTTTGCTATTCTTGAGAAAAAAGATTTTTAAAGAATATTCCTATATATTTCTATGATAATCTTTGATCGGCCATTGTGGCCCCGTCCTACCACCGGGGGTCATGATTTGAACAAACTTGAATCTCCACTACCTGAGGATGCTTCCAGAAAATAGGATAATCCATGCCTTTGCTATTCCTGCAAAGGAGATTTTTAAAGAAATTTCATTTACATCTCTATGTAAAATTTTGATCGACTATTATGGCCCCGCCCATACCCCAAGGGGTCATGATTCGAACAAAATTGAATCTCTACTACCTGAGGATGCTTTTATAAAAATGTGATCATTCATGCCTTTGCTCTTCTGGAAAAGAAGATTTTTGAAGAATTTTCCTATATAATTCTATTTAAAACTTTGATCGGCCATTGAAGCCCTGCCCTACCCCCAGGTTTCATGACTTGAACAAAATTGAATCTCCACTAGCTGAGGATGCTTCCACAAAAAAATTGATCATTCATGCCTTTGCTATTCTTGAGAAGAAGATTTTTAAAGAATTATCCTACATATTGCTATGTAAAACTTTGATCGGCCATTGTGGCCCCGCCCTCCCCCGGGGATCATGATTTGAACAAACTTGAATCTACACTACCAGAAGATGCTTCCCTATAAGTTTCTTCTTTCCTGGCACAGTGATTCTTGAAAAGAAGATTTTTAAAACATAGCATCAAGTTTTCATTATTTCTGAATTATCTCCCCGTGAATTAAGGCTTGACCCTTCATTTGAAAAACTTGAATCCCCTTCACCTAAGTATACTTTGTGCCATGTTTGGTTGAAATTGGCTCAGTGGTTCTAAAGAAGAAGTCGAATATGTGAAAAGTATACGACAACAATGACGACGACAGACAACGGACAAATTTTGATCAGAAAATCTCACTTGAGCCTTCGGGTCAGGTGAGCAAAAAATTTAAGGAATTCTTACTGCCTTAAGCTTGTACGTAATGGATCAGTGACTCCGGTTATGGTGCATTTCAGAGGAAAATATTGGATAGTTTTATAAGTGTATGTTTTTTTTCACTTAACATACAAGTAATGAAATTTATTGTCTATTGGAATTGCCATGGGTACAAATTGCGCTCCGTTATTAGCAGACTTATTTTTATATTCATGTGAAGCAGAATTTATGCAAAATCTTATGCGTGAAAAGAAGAAAACACTTGCTGTGGCCTTCAACTCAACATTTAGATATATCGACGACGTATTGTCAATTAATAATGATAATTTCCATTCCTACGTCGATACGATATATCCCGGTGAGCTTGAGATAAAAGATACCACAGAGTCCGACAATTCTGCTTCATATTTGGATATTTTACTTGAAAAAGACACTAATGGTAATCTAACAACCAAGCTATATGATAAACGTGATGACTTTAACTTTTCTATCGTCAACTTCCCTTACTAATGCAGCAATATACCTTCATCACCTGCATACGGAGTATTTATATCTCAGTTGATTCGATACGCAAAAGCATGCTCTACTTATGAAAATTTCTTAAACGAGGTAAATTATTGACAAGCAAGTTGATGAAACAAGAATATCAGCAGTCTCGTTTAAAGTCATCATTTCGTCAGTTCTATGGTCGATACAATGACCTTGGCAGCATATACAATTTATCATTGAGTCAAATGCTGACTGACGTTTTTCATACCAATTGTTAGTCCATTATTTATACACTGAATTGACGACGGATTTTTTTCCGTTATTTCCTGATCATGATAACGGGCACATGGCGGGTGTGACCGGTCGGCAGGGGATGCTCACTCCTCCAAGGCACCTGATCCCACCTCTGATGTTTCGGAGGTCCGTGTTTGCTCTGCTCTGATTTTGTATATTGTTTAATGGACTTTGAATTTGAATACTGTTCGTTATCTCCATATCCTTCTTGTCTCATCGAAGACGAAACCTTTACATTTCTATTAGCACAAATAATTGACTAGCTACATATCATTTCAGTGTTAATCTTACATGTTTCTACTATAATATTCTTTACTGCTATATAACATAAAGGTTCATAAGTAAAGCTATCTCTGTGTATGCTAGACTTAATATATCAACTGTGCTTTCTCCATCACATTAAATCAGTTGAGCTTGAGTAAATGCAATTCTCAATCAATATCTAATATCATAGATTTCTGTTATACTTTTATTCCGTCATTTTAGGCCCAAGTCTTTATGTGAGAAGATTTGCTGGGTTCTTCCTGTATGTTTCAAATACAACATCCAGAGAAGACGGTCATCTTTGTTTTCATGAGATACAGACCGTAAGCGGTTCTCCAATCGAGGATCAGAGGATTAACTGTTCTGTCTATGGACGTTATGTCATCTACTATAACGAGCGTAATAATCCGGATGTTACCTACCCTGATTACTACTCTACATATGCGTTCAATGAATTATGTGAACTTGAAGTATACGGTGAGGTGATGTAGATTACTCAATATATTTTTGTAAAGTTTCAAATATTAAAAAAAAACAAACTATGTGTCCTAAATTTCCTGTGTTTTAAGAGATATTTCTTGAACTAAGAAATGTTGCTTTCATCCAATGGAGCTAAAATAGTTTAATTCTTAAGCAGGGTGCCCAGTTCATGGTTATTTTGGAGAAAAATGTAACCGATTATGTCCAGAGAAATGTCAGGGACAGCAGTGTGATGCAGTAACCGGTTTTTGTGTGAAAGGCTGTTTACCAGGATATCACGGTGTACACTGTAGTTATGGTAAGTTTACAACCTATTCAATATGCTTATGTTTTCCTTGTTTTCTAACCAGGAAGAAAGTTTCAAGATGATTATTAACGATTCTAACTTCTAAGATATTGGTAAGATTGATGGTATATTGTGTAACGCGCTTCTCATATTTCACTCATATGGAGACACCACCACTTGCCGGTGGAGAGCTGGAAATTTTGTCCTATACTCGGCACTCAGGGCCATTGAGCAGGGAGGGATCTTTTTCATGGAAGCACCTTCTGCGACACGAAACCTCGGTCAATACGGTCTCATCCGAAGGACCGGTCTCCACGTCGCACAGTGGGATTCGAACCCTCGACACAAGAATCAACTCTTTACCTCGCGATTCTAGAGAAGACACTCTAACCACTGCGCCATGCGGGCGACAAGTTATTGGTCAGCGATGAAATACTAAATCTATTATGATGCCAATAAAAAAATGCTTTCAATCTTGTTACTGCTTTATTAACTTCTAAAACCGCTGATCATTATTATAACCAATGAAAACTGTTATAACAAATACGTTACTTTCGTAAATGAATGATATTATTAACAATTCAGCATTTTCTTTATAGGGAAAGACGATTTTTATGATATACATAACAAAGAGATTTTTTTTTGAATTTGTAGTATTAGTTTTTGTTGTATACATGTATTTGACTGTAGAAAAACAGAGAACTAGAAAAAGCCTCATGTCAGTTGTTTGTCTGTTTATATGAAGTAGGTAACTACATACATAACTAACTATCAATGTTAGATTTAATAAAATAAAATATGTAAAAAGTGTATTTTTAATTTTTTTTTTATAATTAAAAGTTCATTTTTTTCAAAAGCAAATTTAGCATTAGCTAAACCTGCATGGCAGCAATACCCCTTTTCAGCTACCAAATGGGGAGCAGATAAAGCAGTTGATGGACTATATTCAGATCGAACAGCAGGGGGAAACCAATGTACCATATCAACATATAATAAAGTCACAGCAGAGTGGAGGGTAGATCTACAGCGAGTAGTTAGCATCAGTCACATCAACATCTTCTATAGGACGGATAATTTTCCTAGTATGTAATCACTACAATTCTATTAAGCGTATTACTACGTAGTGTTTTATACTATTTTGGTAGTTCTTTTTTTAGGACTGATCTTAGTAAATAGGTAAAAAGATTTTAAAGTAAATATTCCGTCGCTAAGCACTTGACACTTTGGTCTTTTTTTTTAAAAGAACCTAAAAAATGAAATTCAATGTCAGAAGGGCAAAAGAATATCCCAGTGTTGAAGTTTAAAGACATTCGATAGTATTAGGTGAAAATTGTATATAATTGAAATATGCTAGGATGGAGTATAAAACAAAATACATTCAATAAATTATTAATTTATCAGTAGTTTTAGAAGCTTTATTTTTGCAATGTCACTTGTTCTTAGCAAAAAAAAAAATTATAGTATGTTCTCAACAGTATA